CAGCTATGTCAGCCACACAGAGTATGATAGACTGGAAATATAAAATACTGCTTTATCTCTCAGCTATGACAGCCACACAGAGTATGGTAGACTGGAAGTATAAAATACTGCTTTATCGCTCAGCTATGACAGCCACACAGAGTATGAGAGACTGGACGTATAAAATACTGCTTTATCTCTCAGCTATGTCAGCCACACAGAGTATGAGAGACTGGAAGTATAAAATACTGCTTTATCTCTCAGCTATGACAGCCACACAGAGTATGATAGACTGGAAGTATACAATACTGCTTTACCTCAGCTATGACAGCCACACAGAGTATGATAGACTGGAAGTATACAATACTGCTTTATCTCAGCTATGACAGCCACACAGAGTATGATAGACTGGAAGTATACAAAACTGCTTTACCTCAGCTATGACAGCCACACAGAGTATGATAGGCAGTACATACAAAATAATGCTTTATCTCTCAGCTATGACAGCCACACAGAGTATGAGAGACTGGAAGTATAAAATACTGCTTTATCTCTCAGCTATGTCAGCCACACAGAGTATGGTAGACTGGAAGTATACAATAATGCTTTATCTCTCAGCTATGACAGCCACACAGAGTATGAGAGACTGGAAGTATACAATACTGCTTTATCTCTCAGCTATGACAGCCACACAGAGTATGATAGGCAGTACATATAAAATACTGCTTTATCTCTCAGCTATGACAGCCACACAGAGTATGATAGACTGGAATTATAAAATACTGCTTTATCTCTTAATTATGACAGCCACACAGAGTATAAGAGACTGGAAGTATACAATATAGCTTTATCTCAGGGCTCACGAAAGCCACACAGAGAATAAACGACTGGTGGTCTAAATTACTGCTTTTTCTTATGGCCATGAGAGCCACACAGAGAATGAGAGAGTGACAGTTTAAGTTACCATTTTATCTCAGGTTCATTACAGCCACACAGAGAATGAAAGACTGGCAGCCTTAGGGAAAGGACAGCCACATAGAGAATGAAAGACTGGAAGTATACAAAACTGCTTTACCTCAGCTATTACAGCCACACAGAGTATGATAGACTGGAAGTATAAAATACTGCTTTATCTCTCAGCTATGACAGCCACACAGAGTATGATAGACTGGAAGTATACAATACTGCTTTATCTCTCAGCTATGACAGCCACACAGAGTATGAGAGACTGGACGTATAAAATACTGCTTTATCTCTCAGCTATGTCAGCCACACAGAGTATGATAGACTGGAAATATAAAATACTGCTTTATCTCTCAGCTATGACAGCCACACAGAGTATGGTAGACTGGAAGTATAAAATACTGCTTTATCGCTCAGCTATGACAGCCACACAGAGTATGAGAGACTGGACGTATAAAATACTGCTTTATCTCTCAGCTATGTCAGCCACACAGAGTATGAGAGACTGGACGTATAAAATACTGCTTTATCTCTCAGCTATGACAGCCACACAGAGTATGATAGACTGGAAGTATACAATACTGCTTTATCTCAGCTATGACAGCCACACAGAGTATGATAGACTGGAAGTATACAAAACTGCTTTACCTCAGCTATGACAGCCACACAGAGTATGATAGGCAGTACATATAAAATACTGCTTTATCTCTCAGCTATGACAGCCACACAGAGTATGATAGACTGGAAGTATACAATACTGCTTTATCTCTTAGCTATGTCAGCCACACAGAGTATGAGATACTGGAAGTATTCAATACTGCTTTATCTCTCAGCAATTTCAGCCACACAGAGTATGATAGACTGGAAGTATACAATACTGCTTTACCTCAGCTATGACAGCCACACAGAGTATGATAGACTGGAAGTATACAATACTGCTTTATCTCTCAGCTATCACAGCCACACAGAGTATGATAGACTGGAAGTATACAATACTGCTTTACCTCAGCTATGACAGCCACACAGAGTATGATAGACTGGAAGTATACAATACTGCTTTATCTCTTAATTATGACAGCCACACAGAGTATGATAGACTGGAAGTATACAATACTGCTTTATCTCTTAATTATGACAGCCACACAGAGTATGATAGACTGGAATTATAAAATACTGCTTTATCTCTTAATTATGACAGCCACACAGAGTATGAGAGACTGGAAGTATACAATATAGCTTTATCTCAGGGCTCACGAAAGCCACACAGAGAATAAACGACTGGTGGTCTAAATTACTGCTTTTTCTTATGGCCATGAGAGCCACACAGAGAATGAGAGAGTGACAGTTTAAGTTACCATTTTATCTCAGGTTCATTACAGCCACACAGAGAATGAAAGACTGGCAGCCTTAGGGAAAGGACAGCCACATAGAGAATGAGAGACTGGCAGTCTAAGTTATCACTTTATCTCGGGGCCATGGGAGCCACACAGAGAATGGTAGACTAGCAGTCTGAATTACTGCTTTATCTCAGGGCCATGGGAGCCACACAGAGAATGATAGACTAGCAGCTTGTGAAAACATGCAAATTCCACTACATGGCATTGGGCCAAAGGGCGAAAGCTCATGTGTCGCTGGATCGACAACAACAACAACAACAACAACCTACCAAATCCTGCAATGTCCAAGACACCTATGAAGCTGACAGATGAGCCAAATGGAATGGACTTGTTGACCATGTCCACTATGTAGTCAAACATGCGAGAGTACACAGACTTGGCCAGGGCATCTCTGGCATTGCTGGCTTCAACTGTCTTCAGTGGAACCCTGGGACATAGTCAGTCACACTTAAGTTATAGTGAAGTGTCTTCTCACATCTTTCATATCAACAAGTGTTACTGCTTTCTGATTGTCCATTTATTTCTAATAAATTTTTTCACTGGTTTCCGGTTGTTTAGAGTATTTTGCATGAGTTTTTCTACTGGCTGTCTAATCTATTTATTTCTGATAAGTTTTCTGCTGTTTTCTGGCTGTCTAATCTAGTTATTTCTGATCCGTTTTCCCCTGATTTCTAGTGGTCTAATCTATTTATTTCTGATGAGTTTTCCACTAGATTCAGGTAGTCTAATCTATTTATTTCTGATAAGTTTTTCACTGGTTTATGGTTGTCTAATCTATCTATTACCGATAAGTTGCCCACTGGTTTATGGCTGTCTAATCCATTTATTTCTGACGAGTTGTCCACTGGTTTATGGCTGTCTAATCCATTTATTTCTGATGAGTTTTTCACTGGTTTCTGGTTGTCTAATCTATCTATTACTGATATGTTGACCACTGGTTTATGGCTGTCTAATCTATCTATTACTGATAAGTTGACCACTGGTTTATGGCTGTCTAATCCATTTATTTCTGATGAGTTTTTCACTGGTTTCTGGTTGTCTAATCTATCTATTTCTGATATGTTTTCTACTGGTTTCTGGCTATCTGCTGCATCTATTTCCGAGTTTTCATTGTTATCTGGTTGTCTAACTCTTTGAGTCCCAGGGTGTTTAGCATCAGAGGCCCAAATGGTAGACAAGAGAGATGTAAAATTGGCGCATCTTGCATTCATTGGGCCTCTAGATCGGAATGTATGAACGTATGATACGTTCCTTGGGACTCAAAGAGTTAATCTATCTATCTCTGATAAGTTTTTCACTGGTTTCTGGTTGTCTAATCTATTTATTTCTGATGAGTTTTTCACTGATTGTTTATTTCAGATGGGTTTTCCACTGACTGTCTATTTTTGATGAGTTTTCCACTGGCTTTCTATTCTGTTTATTTCTGATGAGTTTTCTACTGGCTGTTATTTTGTTAATTTCTGATGAGTTTTCTACTGGCTGTCTAATCTATTTATTTGTGATGAGTTTTCCACTGGCTGTCTAATCTATTTATTTCTGATGAGTTTTCACTGGCTGTCTAATCTATTTAATGTTTTCCTACATATGGTAAAACACCAGACAGTAACTTCACTCATACAAAATGATCCTGACTGTTTCATGCACAAATATGTATTTGATCAGCCTAAACATCTACAGGGACAAACAAATAAATGAACAACCATGGACAACAAGCACAAGCTTATGAACGCAATAGCTAGTAATTATCACAACAATACAGATACAACAGAATAGCTGCTGTATCAGCTCTGATGGATTCAAGGTTACAGGACATAAATGAAGTGACTCAGTGAGACATTACTTGATTGCAGTTCCTTTAGTGCCACCACGAGTTGCCTGCATGACTCGACTGATGAGAGAGTCTCTCAGCTCTTCCTTGTCCACACCCAGCAATGATGCTGTCGTCTGCAGTGAGTCTTCAGCTGATTTGACCACCTTACATCCACCTGCAACAATAGACAACAGCTAACAGGGTTACCCGATGACACCACCGACATACAGACAGGGTTACCTGATGACAACAATGACAGACAGGGTTACTTGATTGCAACACAGACAGACAGACAGACTTACCTGATAGCAACACAAACAGAGACAGGGTTACCTGATGACAACACTGACACATAGGGGTACCTAACAGGTTTGTGTTGTCATCTGTGGATTATAACAGAGAAGTAGTAGTAGTGGTGGTTAGATGTGTACACCTCAACTGTGGATTATAGGAGAGAAGCAGTAGTAGTAGTTAGATGTATACATCACATATGTAGATTATAATAGAGAAGAAGCAGTAGTAGTTGGATGTGTATACCTCATCTGTGAATTATAACAAAGAAGTAGTAGTTATATGTGTACACCACATCTGTGGAATATAACAGAGAAGTTGCAGTTAGATTTGTAAACTTCAGCTGTGGATTATAACAGAGAAGTTTTAGTTAGATGTGTACACAACATCTATAGATTATAACAGAGAAGTTGTAAGAAGGTGTACAACGCATGTGTGGATTATAACAGAGAAGTTGTAGTTAGATGTGTATACCACATTTACATATTATAACAGAGAAGTTGTAGTTAGAGGTGTACAACAAATCTGTGGATTATAACAGAGAAGTTTTAGTTAGATGTGTACACCACATCTGTAAATTATAAAAGAGAAGTTGTAGTAAGAAGGTGTACAACACATGTGTGGATTATAACAGAGAAGTTGTAGTTAGATGTGTATACTACATTTACAGATTATAACAGAGAAGTTTTAGTTAGAGGTGTACAACACATCTGTGGATTATATGTGTAGACCACATCTGCAGATTGTAACAGAGAAGTTGTAGTATTAAATATGTGTAAACCACATCTATGGATTATAACAGAGAAGTTGTAGTATTAAATATGTGTACACCACATCTGTGGATTATAACAGAGACGTACTAGTTATATGTGTACACCACATATGTGGATTATAACAGAGACGTACTAGTTATGTGTGCACCACATCTGTGGGTTATAACAGAGAAGTACTAGTTATATGTGTACACCATATCTGTGGGTTATAACAGAGAATTACTGGTTATATGTGTACTCCATATCTGTGGCTTATATCAGAGAAGTACTAGTTATATGTGTACACCACATATGTGGATTATAACAGAGAAGTACTAGTTATATGTGTACACCATATCTGTGGCTTATATCAGAGAAGTACTAGTTATATGTGTACACCACATATGTGGATTATAACAGAGACGTACTAGTTATGTGTGCACCACATCTGTGGATTATATAAGAGAAGTACTAGTTATATGTGTGCACCACATCTGTGGATTATATAAGAGAAGTACTAGTTATATGTGTACACCATATCTGTGGCTTATATCAGAGAAGTACTAGTTATATGTGTACACCACATATGTGGATTATAACAGAGAAGTACTAGTTATATGTGTGCACCACATCTGTGGATTATATAAGAGAAGTACTAGTTATATGTGTACACCATATCTGTGGGTTATAACAGAGATGTACTAATTATATGTGTACACCATATCTGTGGGTTATAACAAAGAAGTACTAGTTATATGTGTACACCACATCTATGGGTTATAACTGAGATGTACTAGTTATATGTGTACACAACATCTGTGGATTATAACAGAGAAATACTAGTTATATGTGTACACCACATCTGTGGATTATAACAGAGAAGTAGTAGTTATATGTGTGAACCACATCTGTGAATTATAACAGAGAAGTACTAGTTATATATATATTTTTTTTAATCGATCACCGGCTGTGAATTCCGGCGGAAGGTCCCGGTTAATCGTCCGCTTGGACTTTTGGCTTTCACCTGGACCTGAGTTTTGCGTGTACAACCGTTTTTCTGTTCCCTGCCTCATGGGCAGCTGTACTCCGACTTCGAAGGAAGACGTCAGGCCTATTTCTAGGATGACTGTGGCCATTGTTTTGTGTCGGTCGAGACGTTGCCTGATTTATGTGGTGTCCACTTTTGTCTCCTTCTCCGCAGGTATTGCCCCCGAAGTACCCCTTTGGGGCAGCCCCCTGTGAACGGTTAGCCCTCAAGGGAAGGCAGGGGCAGATCATGGGCATTCCCCGCCATCCAAGGAGGCTTCCATGTATGCAGAGCCGGCACATGGCTCTCTGGTTCTAGGCTCACCCAAGGAATCGTCACGTCCTGCACATGCCTGCTTAACTTCACAACCGTATCAGGCCTCCCGCTCGACAAGGGCTGCGCCCTCAGGAAGTCAGCGGGGGGCAGCCCGTGGGTTTTGGACTTTTGTGAAAATACGAATAGGTACATTCTTTTTTCTTCGCACGTTAGATTTCTTTGACGAGCCGTTAGCCCGACAGAATTTTACATCCTGCGTCAGGCATATCGTTATCAGTTTGGTCCCAACACTCGGGCGACTGGGGTCTTTGGGTGTGGACATTTGGTCTTTTTCCGTTCAATACAAATTGTGATGGTCAGATTTTGAGCTTATTTGTGTGCCGTGGGATCTAGTTTTGTCGGACATTTAGGCTTAGCCAGCCAAAGAGCTGTTGCTGTTGTGGTGTACCTCAGCGCAGTGACGACGACACTGAGGGTGAACCGAGGATGTACATGGATGGCCAGCCTATGGATGGTTGCTGTTGTGGTGTACCTCAGCGCGGTGACGACGACACTGAGGGTTAACCGAGGATGTACATGGATGGCCAGCCTATGGATGGTTGCTGTTGTGGTGTGCCTCAGTGCGGTTAACAGAGGATGTACAGTGAACAATGTTCTCTTCACTCCGCAATCTTTTAACCAAGGGTTGTAATTTTAGCTGTACGTTTGGCAAGAATACTCATGTTCCTAATGAGTTTGATAACCTTTTTCACCCAAGCGTTTGGGGGCGGGCTGATAAGAGCCACATGGACACATCATCTCTAGGGGCCGCCAAACTCTGAGATCCCCTGACAGCTCTGTTAATGCTCATTTGAGACATTATCCGTGGCGCACGACGAGGACGTGCTGCAGGGGTCTTGCGTGAGGTTCCGTAAAACCAGAACAGTGAAGGACTGGCGCCCGAGTGACGTACGGAGTATCTCCTTATACACATCATGTTGGACTTAACTTCCCCTCTTGCCTGTGACATAAATCACCGCGCCACACTAGTTATTTGTGTACACTTCATCTGTGGATTATAACAGAGAAGTACTAGTTATATTTGTGCACCACATCTGTGGATTATAACAGAGAAGTACAAGTTATATGTGTGCACCACATCTGTGGATTATAACAGAGAAGTAGTAGTAGTTAAATGTGTACATCACATCTGTGGATTATAACAGAGAAGTACTAGTTATATTTGTGCACCACATCTGTGGATTATAACAGAGAAGTACTAGTTATATTTGTGCACCACATCTGTGGATTATAACAGACAAGTACTAGTTATATGTGTGCACCACATCTGTGGATTATAACAGAGAAGTACTAGTTATATTTGTGCACAACATCTGTGGATTATAACAGACAAGTACAAGTTATATGCTAACACCACATCTATGAGTTATAACAGAGCAGCAGTAGTCTGATGTGTACACCATATTTGGGGATTATAACAGAGAAGTAGTAGTTTGATGGTCACACTACATCTGTGTGTAATAACAGAGAAGTAGTAGTTTGATGGTCACACTACATTTGTGTGTTATAACAGAGAAGTAGTAGTTTGATGGTCACACTACATCTGTGTGTTATAACAGAGAAGTAGTAGTTTGATGGTCACACTACATCTGTGTGTTATAACAGAGAAGTAGTAGTTTGATGGTCACACTACATCTGTGTGTTATAACAGAGAAGTAGTAGTTTGATGGTCACACTACATCTGTGTGTAATAACAGAGCAGTAGTAGTCACATGTGTACATGTACACCACATTTGTAGATTATAACAGAACAGTCAAGTTCATACTAGAGACAACATTGCAGATATAGATAATATTTTCCAAGCAAATGAAAGAAGAAGAAGAAGATTATAACAGAGAAGTAGTAGTCAGATGTGTACACCACATTTGTGGATTATAACAGAGAAGTAGTAGTTTGATGGTCACACTACATTTGTGGATTGTATGAGAGAAGTAGTAGTAATTAGATGTATCCACATGCTGATGACAGAAGACATCTGTGAAATGCTCAGTGTGTGAAACTGACAACAAAGACACAAACCTTTAGCATCATCAGCATTTTCCTCAAATGCCACATTACCCAAATGGAGAATGGCAGCCACCAGGGAGTAGATGCCCAAACGTTCTTGGTCGCCAAAGCCCAGGTGTTTCATGGCAGCATCACAGACACTGAAGTCGTTGACATCATCCAGCACACTGTCCCGCAGGCTGCCTTGCTTGAGATACTGCAATGGTCACAAGATGATGGCAGGGTCAATACTAAAACAAACAAACCAGTTTTAAAGGGTTTAGTATTGGGCATGCAGGCTTGTCTTAAATTCCGTTCCTCTGGCTCTCTCCTTGCAAATTTATTGCATGCAAACATCATTTAACAGGTAATGATCATACAAATCACCAGCAACATCCAAGTCTTAGTTAAAAAAACTGGAATGCCATCTAACTGTAACAACATGTCTTAACAATAACAATACTAACTATAATAAATCTAGGGGAAATGCACAATACGCTTAAAATACTATTACTTTTTAAGGGGTATATAGTCTTTAATGAGATGACATTCAAATAGTTCCAACTGTATATACTGGCGTTACTGATATTTTTGATTAGCTGTGGAAGTTCGCTCCGTAGATGAGCTGTGGTGTATGCTCAGCTTGTTCTGTAAAGGTTTATCCTAGGTTTAAGGACATTTAATATGTTTAGGCATTTGCTAAATCGCTCATTATGCTTGAAGAATGGCCAAAGTTAATTAATCTGAAACATTTTTGGATAAAATTTTATGAATAAGTTTGGCCTCATTGAAAAGTAAGTTTGTGAAGTAGTGTTAACATGACACCTTTATGTAGATTGGAACTGTCTCTTTCATGATTTATTATTATCTCTTTCATTATTCACTTTTACTGACTAAGCATACGGCTCTTCCCAATCGGATGACTCAGTTGTAACAGCATCCCATACTGTGATGCAATAGTTCAGACGGGTCTGAATGTGAGACCTACAGAATATCCTTCTAGTGTTCTCCTCAAGAAAGTTTTAAATTTGTGCAAGGTGGTATACTATTGTGGCTGTTTCTTTTACAAGAGCTTGAACACGAGAACTGAAGATTAGATTCCTATCAATAATCAGACCTAATGCTTTCTGCTCAGTTACATATTGTGCTGTTTTGTTATCAGTGTACAGTTGAAGGATCTTATGTGAATTTAATGAGTATACAAATGTGTTATAAAGACAGATGTTGTTTTTCTATGTTAATGTGTATGCTTCAGGTAACTACACTGTTTATTTCCTGTTGTACAGACGACTCTGGAACATTTCAAGCTGGAACACGTTTACAGACTGTACGGCGGTCTATGAACAAATCACAGGTGACAACAGACATAAAGTCTGGTGATTGCTAAAACTTTGAGGAGAGATGCTTTTCCTACCAAACGTAACTCCACCAATGATGGACCTAAATTGAACTTGACTTTTCACCCTAACAATGTGGTTGCTTCCAAAGTATTCTTTCGTCATTTGGACATCCTCCACTCTGATCCGGACACCTAGATTATCTTTAGTGAGAAACCTAGATTAGTTTACAGACGAGATCGCAACCTTAAAGACATACTTGTCTGAAGCCGACTCCCACCGATCCACACAGCACTTCCTTTTGGGACTACTCAGTGCTCACGCAGCACCTGCAAGACATGTCCTTTCGTTATCCAGACTTCTTCGGTCAGTTTCCCTAATGGTTCTTTTCAAATTAGGGAACCTTTTACTTGCGAATCCCGCAACATAATTTATGCAATTATCTGCAAACGATGCAGCAAGGCATACATTGGGAGACTGGTAGGAAGCTAGCTGATCGTTTCCGGGAACACCTCTCCGATATCGACAAGAAGACACTCTAACTAATCCCTCTTCATTTTAATAGCCCTGACCACAGCGGTAAAGATGACATATCTGTCACAGCATTAAAATCTTGCTCTGGCGATCATACTACCCGCCTCGCTTTGGAAAATCGCCTTATCCACAGCCTTGGCGTTCTTAGTCCAAGAGGTATCAATATCCAACATACCTTCATTTAAATAGTTCTAATATTATCACATTTTAAATGTTAATTATTTTATTTTATTTCATATTATTACCTTATTTTATTTCTTATCAGTATCATTTATGTATCATTAACACTTGCATTTCTTTTATTCCCAGTATTGTGACTATATTTTTTAGCCATCGTTTATTTTATTTTATTTCCTTTATTCCGCATCACATTTTTTAGCTTGACTGCAGTCACCCCATAGTTTCACCATATGTAAATTACATGTACCACACAATTAGACATTTAAACTGTATGCATAATTTCTTTATTATTTACATTAAATGTGGCTTTCAATTTTTTTTAAATAAACATTATGTGTATCGTTATATAAGATACATACAAACACATATATTCAAATTACACATGGATACTTAAATCTATAACCAAACCTGTCACATTTATCATTAAATATAGATCAACATTACAGGTCTCTATCTAACACATATTTGAAATAAAAATAAAATTCATTGCATATTCACTTCATATTTAGTAAAGTAAAGATCCCTTTTCACGCCTTTAGGCGTATCAGGTAGCATGGAAAGAGCACCCCATATTTTTTAATCGGCACTAGGTGGGTATTGTGGTCGACCTGCGATGCCCCATACCATGATAAAAAATCCATGCAGGTCAGCAGTGGGTTTTCGATCGCGGGTATTTTGGAATTAAGATTCGGACTTGCAATGCCCCTAAGCCACTTGAGGCCACTCACTTCAAATTTATAATTTCTGTATTGTTGTATACATGTTACCATTCTTGTATACAGGCCCCACTGAAGAGATGAAAACACTGATGACATTGCCAAATGACAAAGCAAAGACCAAAGTGTTAAGGTCTCCATGACAGTGAAGACTGCTGGGGTTGTGCTGCACGATTTACAGTGTCTTCATCCACTAAGTGCTGGATGAATGAAAGCTAGAAGGATGAGAGCTAGTGGATGAGGGCTGGGTGAGGGGGGAGGGGTGATAGACAGGAGACCCAGGAACCATGATAACATACCGGCAATGTGTGTCGTTCACTAAGCGGTTTAGTGAAACATCCATGTACTTAGTTTACTGTGATTGAGTGTCCCCAGTCTGACAGTGTCAGAACAAAGTCGCAGCATCAAAGTTTACAGCATGAAGTAAACAAAACAGCCACCACTATCATGCTACATATGGAGTCACAAAACGAGCCCAATTCTTCAATGCTGCATAAGTGGCGTTCAACAAAACAACTACCAATATTAAATAGCTACAACCATGGAATTAAACACAACCACCTAACTATCAATGCTACAGCTGCAGTCAACAAAACAGCCATAGATTTTAATGCAACAACATGAGTCAACAAAACATCCACCAATATCAATGCTACATAATGGAGTCGAACAAACAACTAGGCAATGTTAATGCTACACCATGTAGGTCAACAAAACAGCCACAAATATTCAATGGGGCACAGTTTTTAACTGGCGGACGTGTCGAGTCAGCACAAATACAACCACAAATATATGCTATGGGCTGAAGACACGCATAACCACAAATATAATGCAAACAGTGTTTAAAGTCCAACACAAACAACCCCCATATAATGCTATGCTATTGAGGTACAACACAAATAACACAAATATCATGGCGTACAGTATTTAAGTCAATCAGAACAACCACAAATTATAAGGCTATGGCATGAATGACGACAAACAATAACAACAAATATAATGCAAACAGTTTTAAAGTCAACAAAGGCTGGACCAGCCAATATATTGCATGCTATGCGGAAGACAGACAAAATAACCCAACAAATATCAATGAAAGTCAACAGAACACCACAAATATCCTGCTATGGCATGAGAACAACAAAATAACCACGATATAATGCTACAGTAAAGTCAACAAAACAACCACAAATA